TACCTAAGTTTTGAGGCCCGGGAAAATGATTGCATTTTTCCATGTGATAGGTGAATGCATAAAAAGAGCTGCCATGAAATTCATTTTTCCAAAGAAAAACACTTTAGACCCCAGGTAATCGCAGTGTACTCGACTCTACCAAATATTAATAATGATAATAAAAATAAGTTTTCAAGTACTTGGCAAAAGTTAGCAACGAATTCGCTTTTTATTTTTACTAACCATAATTAAATAACAATAAAACTATTGAATGCAACTTTTTGTTTTCGCACGAACCAATTAAATCTATGTAAAACGTGATTCGCCGATTTCACTCGGATTGGTGCAAAAGGAGGAAGACTTTAATTATTCCTACGGTCGGGTAAAAAAATAAAGTCCTAAATTTATTGATAATTACTTTCCCCGGGCAATCCCGGGTAATACTCGCTATGTACAATTTCAAATAGGCATACCCCAATTATATTGACCCAATAATTGATATTTAACCACTGTACCACGCGCTTAAAGCGAATGCAACTAGAAAAGATAAAGAACGCAGGGAGCAGATAACGGCAGATGCTTTAATTAGGCGGGAGGAAGAGTAAGAGTGTGTTGTCTCTGAATCGACTACAGTTGCATAGGAGCACAGCAAAAGGCAAACGAGAAGAACGTAAGAGAAACTTATTAACAACAACAACTATTGCGATGCGATTGAAAGATGAGCACAAACACGCAAAACTATGCGATATCAATTATTAGTAAATTTAACTGTAACAGAAAAAACGATTTACACTCGCGACAAAACAACTCTTCTCGGATCAGGAAGCGATATATTTTAATTTTTAATAATAATTAAGAATTAAAAGCGGGCTGCTTTAAAAAATTGCGTCTGTTCGCTTCTAAATGTCTTACTCTTATTTGACTACATTCACGTTTGTATGTGATATGTATGTATGTATATAGATATTAACATTTCTGTATACATATATGTATGTATGCCGGTACTCAAATATGTATGTATAAATGCATATATTCTATGCATTTCTATGTGCATGTTTGCATGCACATATATATGTATGCTTGCGCGATTATATGTATATATGAATTTATGTATGTATGTATATAAGTATGTGTGTATGAATGTGTGTATGTATGTAGGTATGTATATACGTATGTATGTATGTATGTATGTATGTATGTATGCATGTATGTATGTATGCATGTATGTATGTATGTATGCATGTATGTATGTATGTATATATGTATGTATGTATGCATGCATGTAGGTATATATGTTCGCATGTAGGGATATATGTTCGCATGTAGGTATATATGTTCGTATGTATGCACGTATCCAATTCGTTTCTATGTACAAATGGGTATATTTACTTGGCCTATTCGCTTTCAAACACCTTGTTTCAATTTGAATGTGCGTACGCATGTACGTATATATGTACGTTTGTTCCCTTTTAACAAATGCAGACAAAGTTTACTTCCCGTTGCGCTGCAAATGTAAAGCACAAGTACTTTCCAAATAATGCCCTACTATGCGATTCTCATTAATTCAAATAGGGCTTGCAAATGTTCATACTCTGATTACAAAAGAAATATAAGCTTATTAAGAGAAGTAAAAGCTAGCTACAAAGCTCATTATTGCTCTCATTACTCATGTTAATTTTCTCACCTCAATTGCACAAAAGAAAAAACTTCTGTTTGAATTAATTAAAGAAGACCAATTTAATATACAGTGAAACACAGTGGACACTCCTACTAGGTGGACACTTCTCTTGAGCGGGCAACAATTGCACGATGGTCGCTGTCCACCCAAGAGGCTTTGTACTGTATTTTGTAGTTAAAAAATAAAAAAAAATATTCTGTTTTCTCAAGAGCTCGATCCCTAAACTAAGTGCCCAGTCTAACTGCAACGAACTACGCTTCTCAATCGACTGATTGGAGCTTATTTCTTTGCGAGTAAAAAACAAATGAAATAAACATATCTTGCTACTGGAGTTGAACCGGCGACTTCTCGCTTGTCAGTCCGTCGCTCAGGCAGCTAAGCCCATCAGGCTCATGACGAAGAATACGTCTTGGTTTTCCAATGAACAACGTTTTCCAACACTTAAAGATTCGAATTTTCGAGTGCAAAGACGAATCCGTTGATTAACTTGCATTCAGTCCGTCTGGACAATCCCTTATAAATAACTAGAGTATAGCAATTTAGCCTTTAGTTTTGCGAATGTTTCAGAATTTACGAAACATTTCCAGAGAATCTCTTGCATATTATTAATTTATTCTGGAAACGGAAAGGGAACAAAAACAAACAAAAATACCTACTCCATTGTCAATGTCTATTAAGCAAATGAAAATATTTCGCCTTTGCTGAGGCGACAGACGACAAGCGACAAGCGACAGGCAACAGGCAACAGCTCGAACAGCCGGGAAACAGGGAAAAAGCTGGCTGACGCGGCGTATGCGCAACATGGCAAGCAACAAACATGACAAAGAACTTTGCAACAGAATACGGCAAACTAACAAATAGAAATGAAAAACTGACAGCATGGTCAGGCAAGGGACAGTGGTGGGGGAAGAGAGTGAGGGGGGGAATTGGTAATGGAACAAACTGGCTGAGGTCCAGCAATTTCTATTGTATTTAGTAAAAAACTAAGCGGCGCGCTCGCTTGTAACCAGCGACAGTCAAAGGGGAATTGGAGAGAGAGAGAGAGAGAGGGCACAGATGATGGTTAAGGGCAGAACTGTCAGGGCGGAGGGGGCAGGGGGCAAAGCCGAGGGCTGCTCCTTGTGCTGCGTTGCTTAGTTCCCGAAAATTGGCAAAATTTGCAAAAGTTGCTCAACGAAATAAACAACAAAATTTAACAAGAAGCTGCGCAGAAGGTGGCAAAAGGGGCAAGACAGCAGGCGGATGAGGTAGCGAGAGGAGGGTGGAAATAGAAGGAAGGGGTGGGGGCAGGGCGGAGTGCTATTTGATATGGAGCGTGGTAAGCGGTCAAAAAGTGAAGTTAGACAAGAAACACAAAACTAAATGGGGCCCGAATAGCGTCGAGTGGATGCTGGCCAAGCGGGGGATGGGGCGATGTGGCTGTAAGGGGAGAATGGGGGAGCGAGATGGTCGGGCTGCAAATATGACAAATGCATGCGGAACCAACTGCAATAGGAGAGGGGGCTGCACTTGTAGCAGGCGGGCGTGGTGCATGAAACAAATAAACCGCTGCAAACGCAGCTTTGGGCTAACACAAGTGCGGGTAGCGGGGGTGGCGAAGGGGAAGGGAAAGGGAGCGGGGTAGTGGGGAGGCAGTTGCAGGTCTTGTTGTCTTGTTGCAACGGCTGCCCCGCGTGCCGCATTTCGCTGGACAATGGCACAAAGTAATTAATTTCAATTTGTAAAGTTCAGAAAAGGCAACGCGTTGTGCACCAGCAATACACCCCCTAACCACCGCCCCTCCCCCCCTCTGGCGGACGTGTGACAAGCTGAAATAATTGCGCCGCATGCAGATAAGCGGCGCCCAACAAAGCAGCTGCCACAACAGCAGGCAGCAGCAGACAACTTAATGTGCAACGCCAGCGAGAACCTTGAGCACACTTGAAGGCGATGCATCTTAACATTGCCACCACCCCCCCACCCCCCACCCACCCTCCTCCCCCTTAACAGCACCGACTGATATAGAGTGCATATATATTTTGGTAAAGTTGTTCCAAAAGAAAAACATTTCGGTTTCAGTTTAGCTTTCGTTTCGTTTCGGCCCGTGTTCCATTTGCGTTGCGCTCTCCCATTTCGTTTCGGTTTCGCATTTTGAACTAGTTCTCGTTAGCCCCTTGGACAAAAAACCAGTGCAATAAATTAATGCAACATAAATTTACGGCCTACTGCAATGCTGCAGTGTTGCAACAACAACAAAGACAACAAAGCCAACAAAGCCAACACAACATTTGCAACATTTTCTGTTTCGCAATTTCTAAATTGGCTGCAAAATAACAATAGGAATCGCAATTTAATATGCTTCTTAAAGGGCAGCAAAGTTTGCCATATTAAGGTAAAGATACAGCTGATGAACTAGCAGATACCCTGTGCCAAGTCCAGAGCATATTAAACCTAATGTTAGGGCGTTTATTTAGTTAAAACAAATCTGAGCTTAGTTTTGAGACGCTTCAAACTTTTATCTGAAATGGAGAATGTTTCTGATGAGGATGATAAATAATAATACTTATAATAATAAAAAATAAAGATAGCCGAATACAATGGCAGATAATACTGGTTATAATCTTGTTGACACTATACAACCAATCTAGCCATTTTTTCCAGTAAGGCTGCATTTTTTATTTAAGGTAAAATTGCTTTTAACATAACACGTCTAGCCTTTTAGACTGCATTTTTATTCATGGCAAAATTGCTTTTAATTTTACCTTTACCTTTTTACCATAAATTCCCAACTACAGATCTAGCCTTTTTCTGGCTATAAAGGTAAGAACGTTTCTGTGCAAATGTATGCAACAGGTAGTAGGAAGAATCTCTAACCCCATAAAATATTTATATTCTCAATAACCGAGTCGATCTAGCCATGTCTGTCTGTCTGTCCGACCGTCCGTTCGTCCATCCGTCTGTCCGTAAGTATGAACGCAAAGATCTCAGAACCTATTAGAGCTAGAGACTTGAACCTAGGCGAGTTTATTTTCGATAATCGATAGCTTGCACAGTCTGCAAGCAATCGATAAAAATCGATATTGCAATATTGTTTGGGCGAATTTCTTATGTTTTAATGGCTAGGCACAAATTTGACATGTACCTACCTAGAATCGTGCATATCAAGTATCTTTCATTTTACAGGAAAGGGGGTTAAAAATCAGGCAACATAAAAATTCCAATGCCACAAATCTCAAGGATCGCATGATAGACACAAGTCTTTAATAATAATAAATGTACACATGCATATAGAAAAATTCTATCGAAAAAAATATGTATTAAAACAAAATTGACGGCTAAATAAAGGTTTATTAATAATAATAAATATTATATAATAACAGCATTTACTATATGCATTTATAAGCCCCTTGGAGTGGGTTCTATTAATATTAAAATTGTTTTTAATGTGTGCATTTACATTCTCTTGTGGCTCGGGCCTCTCGAGATGGTTCTTGCGCAATCTGGCTGCCCTTTCAGGCAACTATTTGGACCCTTTCAGCTGCAGGCAAAGAAGAAGTTCTTCGTCAGACCAAAGACACGCTGCTGCTCAGCCGATGAGCGACAGCGTGACTTGGGTCTGACGCAGAACAACTTCTTTGACTCGCAGCAGCAGCAGCAGCAGCAGCTTCTGGCCAGGATTAGATGCAGGCTAAGTGTCCGCCACGATAGCAGGTCCAGAGCAATGTGACATAGCCATCCATTGGACTCAACTGCAAGCCAAAGAGGCAGCTCTTAAGGTCCCATAGCTGAACATGTTAACTAAAAACTCACCCGTCACGTTTGCAGACTAGCTTAAAGACAGACTAGACTAAAATACTAGAAAGGAGTACAAATTTTCAAAATTTAGATATTTAAAACTTTGTTTCCTTCTTTTTATTTTTGAGCTGCGTAGTTTTTTTCGCTTACAACTCTTGAGTGGAAATGAATATGTCTGCTTTTAGGCCGAGTTGATTACATTTTTTTAATAGACTTTTAAAGCGTTGCCTACTAGAAGAATATTTTCTAGATTTTATACTGTCCGGACTTTCCTTTTCAAGTATTCAGTTTTTCTTGCAGCACAAGTGAACTTGATCTCTACAGTTTTATCATTTTAATCTTAGTTAAGTGATTCTTAAACTCAAACTCTGCTCAAACTCAACTTATTTATCAAAGAAACATATCTTTAAAGATTTTAAACTAACCGTTACACATACATATATGTTTAAATGATGATAGATTATCAATATTATAAGCCAATTTTTAAAAGGGATGTCAGTATGATTGGGGGATATATTGATAAATAACGAGAAAGTAAGGATATCTTGAACATCCGAAGACTTAATACCCTTTTAGACATTTCTCTTTTGCAGATATGTGAGAATAGTGAAGCTCGTAAATGTAAAGTCTGATGAAAATATCGCGAAAACCAGAATAGTTTGCCATATAAGAACCTACTTTTCGAGCGATCGCTCCTATGGCAGCTATATGATATAGTCGTCCGATGTTGGTAAGGAAAGTGAAACTTTTAAATGCCGAGTTTTCTTGATGAATAAAGAAGTTTTCCATACAAGAACCTAATTATTGACAATGATTTACAGATTGTTAATTTGTATTATAGTTATAAATATTACACCTTGTACATGTTTGACCAAAATATATTAGATCCTTACGTTGTTTAATCTTACAGTTGAACTAAAGTCTAATTGTAGTCTAAGGAATTATTTATACTATTAAGGCATATGCAATAAATTCTTGAGAAAATCAAGATATTTGTCGAAATTGTTAGGTTCGACACATTTCTAACACTTCTATGCCCCCCACCCCTAAGATATTACGCATGCCTTCCGGCATCATTATCTTTGTTTTCCCTTTTACATTCTTTTCAATTTCTCACTTTTTCAATTGGCTTTTGGCAATGAGCCCACGTTGTCCTACATCAACAATGACAGAATATGGTGCCTGGTAATATATGTGAATGGCTTGGTGCAAGGTTTTATGAGGCATGCATCTTTCTCATGCTCTCTCTACCTCGCTCCCTCTCTTTCTCTCTCTCTCTCTCACTCTCCCTTTTTTTCTCTCCCTCTCGAAGTGCGCTTCAGAATTTACAAGTTAACAGTTGCAGCCATCGGCGAGCAAAAGGAACTGAATCTGGCGCCAGCTGATGCTGATTAGACTTATGTTATTTTTATACCCTTGCAGAAGGTATCATTATTATGTAACGAAGTATGTAACACGTTAGTCCGACCATATAAAATCGTTTTAATCTTGATCAGCATCAACAGACAAGTCGATATAGTAAAGTATTCTCTTAGTCTTTCTTTTCAAGCCCATAGATCAGAAACATTCGGAAAAATTGGGTTCTTGTATGAAAAACTGGATTACTTTAACAGATATCTTAAACCAACGAAAAATCCACCCCACTTGGATAAAAGAGATTGCATGTCACAGGTAGTCAGGGCAAAGTTTTAAAAAGTTTTCGTCCGATCGGCCTCAAAGCAATCTTTAATACATAGAAACAAAATGAAATAAAAAACTGGGTGAATAAATAATATCTTCCCACGAGAAAGGCCGGGTATTACCCGCAAGTTATATCATATAGCTCCATAGTAAAATTCGTTGGCAAACAAAGATGAAACCCTGCAAGGGTATTCGGTCTTCGGCGTGTCAAGCGCAGCGTTTGTTTTTTTTTATTTTATTTTTTTATTTTTCCCTTTCTTCGTATTGCCAACAAATTGCATTGTTTTGTGTATACCCTTTGCGAAGGGTATTATAATTTGGTGAGTCTTCTTTTTGCTTTTTAACTTTGCCGCCTAATTTCCAAGCAGCAGCAGGATGCGAATGTGAATGCAGGTTTAAATGTGAAGAAAAACCAAAACGAAAACTCGACTGCTGACAGAAGAAGTTTTCTGAGAAAATTGTAGAGCAGCAACCGCTAATTAAAAATGCATTCGTCTTCTCCCCCCTTCCAAAATACAAAAAAAAAAATCAATCCCATTTTGACCGATAACTGGGCAACGTTTGCGGCTTCTGGTTTTTTTGGGATTTGGTTTGGATCTTGTTGAAAGTTTGGGTCTGGCTGGCATAAATCTTTATTATCACGGAACGACAAACGACAATGATATACCGCAAAACAGAAACAGATACAAAAACATAAACAGATACAGATACGAATACAGAAACGAAACGAAACGCGATGATGATAAATATGGGTGTACGGAATTAAGAAATAAATAAATATACAACCAATAAAGCTGAAGACATTTAGTTGGAAGATGAAATTAAACTTAATTAGATCGGGTCTGCTCTGCTGTGGCCGGTTCTCTTGATTGGGTCTAGTGACTGTGACTGTGATTGTGACCGTGAGTGTGACAGGTTCGCTTTGGCATTTATGAGTTGCTGTGATGGCATCAATCATGATGTACATAATGAAGTGCAACCAGCTAGTTTCATTTGCACTTTCAGCGCCTTTCATTAGCATTTCGCACTAATTGTCGCCCCGGCTCAATGAGAATTTCCTTCGCCGCTCATTTGATTGGATTTGCCAGGCTGGGCCCAGTGCAAACAATCAGAACTTGCAACAGCAGCAGCAGCAGCAGCAGCAGATGCTAATGAAGTCATCTCATCAGCGTGCTGCATACAAATGCGTCGCATTCGACGGCTATTTCCGTTTTTGATTTATGCTGCAAAAAGTGGCAACGAGCCCCAATGGCAGCAATCAATTGGCTATCGGCAAATCGGGTAAGGAAAATTTGTGAAATCGAAAAACAACAACTAGCAAAACGATAGCCAAGGTGCCGACAATAGCTGCCGCTGCCGACGCTGTTGTTGTTGCTGCTGCTGCTGATTGATGACACTGATTGATGATGTTTGCATGCGATGAGCTGGCACAATATTATTGCAACTAAATTCTAGCATTCTGATAAATTCTGATATGATTGAAATTGCTTCAATTTAAGCATATCAACGATTGACTTATATATGATTGAGCCCTTAGGCGACTGATTTAATGATTGATCTACACTATTACTACGCAATAGTATAAAAATAGAAAACCGAAACACATTCAAATCAAATAACTCAATCACTATTTGATTGATGCTGCTGTAAAACAAAAGATCAATCCATATAATGCTTGACTGTCTTATGATTGAACAATGTTTGTGCATGTATGTGCCAGAGTTTCCGGCTCAAGAGCTTTTTAGCATATTCACAGATTAAAGATAGCGTTGGCAAATATTTTCAAAGAATGCCGGAAACGAATCCATTTACCTGAACATTTTCATCGGAACTATCGCAATTAGCCAACATCAAAACATATTTTTGCTTTTTGTTCTATGCGCAATTTTTGTTTGCGGCTCTATCAGATCTTTGGGCAGTGCGAAAAAAAAAGGGAAGAGAAACAATGAATTAGCCGAGGCAAAGACAACAATTAACACAGTGAAACACTTGGCTACCTTCATCAAAAATGGCCCCGAAGAAAAAAAAAACAACAACAACAACAGCAACAACAAGAAGCAGCAGCTGAAAGACGTAAACAACAGCTACAAAAACAGTTGAAGCAAACAGAATGATATATAGATAGAGCGAGAGAGACATAGGTAGATGAAGAGGGAGAGAGCGCCGGGGAAAGGGTGCGAGCAGGAGAGATGAAACCAAAGATTCGCAACAAAAATCTGCTCAATCACTTTTCACTTAACCCAAACACGAGAACTTCAAGTTATCGTAAGTGAGAAACAAGGGGTAATGGGGGGGTACACAAAGACTTGGCAAATCGGTCAGAGTGAAGGCTGAACGATGCATTGGCGAGGCGGAGAGGATGGGGGAGGGTATGTGTAAAAGTGATGTGTGGGCTTTTGAACACCAAAAATACAAGAGAACAAACGACAACAGCGGCAGCAGCAGCAGCAGCAGCGCAGCAGCAGAGAAGAAGCCGAGCAAAAAGCAAAAGCAAACTTTACTTGGATGATGATGATATGCAAAAAAGCCCAAGTCGGGAGAAAAGAGCACAAGCCGTAAGATTCGGGCAATGCGAAAGCAGCAGCAACAACACATGTGCACACACGCACACACACATGGAGAGTGAATGAGAGAGAGAGAGAGAGAGAGACGTGAATTGCTTGATATTTAATTCCTACTCCAAAAAAATAATAATAAAAGCGTTGCTACGTCAGCAGCAACAGCGGCAGCAGCAGCAGCCAGGGCAACACTTGACCCAAAAAAAAAAAAAAAAAAACAGAAGAAAATACAGAAAAGTGCTTTGGCCAAAATATTTTGCAGCAGATAAAGTCAACACACGGTATGGAGTAAATTTACTGGGCTGGGCGAATGCCGAAAGTCGTGATTGATTGTGAACGAGTCACGCGAGTTGCTGGCGAAAAAGCGAATTCATCGAACATCGATAAATTTTAATTATCGATTGATGGTGCGCAAATTCCTATTATCCAAAGTTGCAATGCTTTGCTGTCTGCGTATTTAAATGAACTATCGACATCTCGATACAAAATCAAGCTATGTAACTAAATCCAAATGCAAGTCAATATTTCAAGGTAAATAAGTTCTTTTAACCAAAATTATATACTCTTATTCTTAGAGCCGGGGTTCAAAGGGTTTTGGGCTTAACATATATGATATATCTTACTAAAAGACAAACCTTTCTAGACTTTGGATATATGTATATGAAACTTAGTTACAAATAATATTGATTCATATTGGTAAATTGAATTAAACGATAACCTGTTTCAATAACTTATGTAAATACTCGATTATATAAGATCATCTTAATTCAAATACACGATAAATCGGAAGAAGTTGTTTCTTTGTTCCAACTGTTTTCTCTTTCAGCTATTGTGACTGGTAAAATTGTGAACTGTGATTGCTGCATTGCGCTGGTCACACT